CACTGCAGTCTTTGCTGAGCAGGAAGGCCCTTGAACACCAAATTTAGCTGTTCAGTCAATTTTAAGTAAAATTTATCATTCAAAAATGTATGTATCATATGTTATTACATAGATAGTTCCTATTATTATTATGGGGTAAACATTGCAGCAAAAAGTACCTTGTCACTTCTAAGCATTTCTTGATTTTAATTGGAGATTCTCCCAAAGGATCCAAAAAATGGACCGTTTTTCATGTGGGAATATGAGCTGCGGAAGAAGCACCCGGAATGTTGCAACCGTCGTTTTATACGTAAGTAACACTCTTCAACCCAAACAAGTCTTATTAAGTTAAATATGTGCTAAACACATGTAACAGTGTCTACTCCATTTTTAAGGCAATCACAACCGGAATAATTTCATGGTTTCGAGCAATCCTTGAACATTTTAAAGAGTTTTGGTAAAACGCATAATGCGCAGGTGAAGGAACAAAAAGATGAGATAAATTATATACGGTCCTCAGAAGTTGACATCCAACTTGCCACCTTCCCTCTGCCGCCTCCACACTCGCTCACCAACTTTGAAATGATGCCTTTGTGCACCAGACTTCAGCCTCTGCTTTGCAGAATCTTGTGCTTCTGTAATATTTTCACGGGCGGCATTTTTTAGCTGATCCATGCATCTCACTCCCTCTGCCACTATCTCACCAGTAGTTGACTCCACAATATTGTCCACCTATAAAACAAACCTGCTGTGACAGTTTGTGTTGTTATTTAATAACGGACTCTGCATATATAGACAGCCTCAGAACACATCAGCTGAGCTACACGAGAAATAATTCATTATAATTCATTTCAACATTTACAGCCTAACCTGGTACTGCTCTGGCACCATGGACGGGTAGTGGGCCTCTCTTCCAAATAAGAGGAAGTACGGTGAGAATTTGGTAACGATTTGCTTTTTACTGCGTAGTCCAACCATAATTGCATCGAGACTCATCCCAATTAGCCGGTCTTTGCTTAGAGTTCTGCAAAAGTATTTGGTAAACATGAATAGGTGTATTTGTTAAATGGAAATCAAAATGTAGCAACTAATGTTTGAAACCAGTGTTTCCTGAAAATATCGTAAGAATATCTTACAGACAACGATTCATGTCATACAAATAAACAACATGATGTCACAAAGGTAAAAACAACAAAGATCGTTTTCCCAGCCTCTGGAGAGTGCCATTCATCCACTCCACCAAGCCATGTGTTTGAGGATGGTAAGGAGAGCATAGACTTCTTTCAGTTCCAAGTTTGGTGCAAACCCGCTTGTTTATCTGTTAATGAAAATTAATCTGTAATAAAACTGAAAAAGTGTACAGACACTAAAATAAGGAATATGTTCGCAATTTAAGTTTCATATTCTCTCTGCATTAAAGTCAGGTATTTGATCAATTCAGTTTACCGCACTGACAAACTCCCTTCCTTGGTCAGTTAAGATCCTCTTTGGAGCCCCAAACTGGCAGACGAATTTTACAGTGCGTGCAGTCACTTCATCTGCACATTCTGATTTCAGTGGCTAGGCTTGTGACCACTTAGTAAAATAATCCATGATAACACATACTGTATATATTTATGGTCATGCTTTATTGTCACTAGTTTTCCGATCCAGTCCATCCCAACTAGTTCAAATGGCTCTGTGATCTAAAAGAGCAAAATTATATAACAAATAACAGAATGCCATTATAGTCTGTGGTGGTGGAATGCTTGGTTATGTTCACAAATGTCATTGGTTAAACACTGGCTGTATGCTAACTTTACCAGCATTGTGATCTTCGTGCTACAAGGAGCCCAAAGTCAATTTAGAAATGAATCTCTGCTGAATGATGTAAATGTAAATGTCTGTGCATTTGCTCACTGGGTGGCAGTATAAATCAGCTGGAAATTCAATGTCATATTTGATAACGTGAGCCACTCGGATTTGAGTTCGCATTTCACTGACACATCTAGTGTTGCATATGCAAAAACATTCAGAAAGGCTAAACTGAGATTTAGCTTCAGAAAATAATTGGAATATAGTAGAATATACATATATTTCATTAGTGAGCAACTGTTGTGGGGGTCCATTTATTTCAGTTTGAGGACTCTACGTTAAAACAACAAACTATACATACCTTTATGGGTGTACATTCCGCTTGTTGTTTAATTACATTCGGGATATGCAGTCCTGCAGACTGAATGAGTAAGAGACAAAAAAATGGAAGATATCTCTAAAAAGATTTAAACCATCACTGTCAAAGAGAAAATACAAAAATCTGCATTTCTTAAAACTGAAACTGAATGACTACAATTTGCTACATTACTAACATAAAAAACTGCAGTTTAAACTGTTTTAATTCAGTTGTACCATATTAAGATATCTCACTGTATCTTAATTTGTGATGACTGGAGAATGAATAAATGTGAACCTGTTATCTATATTAATAGAAAAGAGATCATGTATCACATTTGAGAAACTTGCAAGAGAACATATCTTGTGAAATTTACTCACCCGTTTATCAATGTCAGCTGACATTCCTGGCCAGAAAAGTATTTTGGAAATGGCATCTCCTGTTTTTTTTTGGCCAGTGTGAGCTCCAGTGTGAGCTCCAGTGGAACTTGCATTAAAATCAACAAATAATTTATTAGCTTCCTTAGCATGACAGACCACTTCCGTTTTGACTGACCTTGCTTGTCCTTTAATATAGTATAGTGATACTCCTAAAAAAAAAAAAATCAAATGAAATAATTTGTATTAAAAATAAACACTTCACGCCAATACAGCAACAAAGACATACCCAGCGATATTTGGCAACCTTGAGCAACAAAGGCACAGTTTCATGTTGCGGAGTGTAGGGGAGGAAGACTGTCATGGTTTAGCTTCCTCTGCGCCAATCACGAGTCAGCAGCCGCCTGCACGTTCAACTGTCAGTCTTTATTGTGCCTTTTAAAATCATAATTGAGGCACAAGGTCCTCTAAATTGTTTATATACATATATACACAGACACACACACACAGACACACACACACATACATATACACACCTATAAACTTCAGAATGCATGGTCACAATACTGAAATAAGGGATAAATTTTACTGCATCTATCTATTATTTTACATGCATGTCACACGATACTTACATGGTTAAAATACATGCAATAATATTATGTCACACCTTCAATAATTCACACTTAGCAAGTGTATATCCATTATTATATAATGCAATAATTATGTTTCTCCTAAGGAAGATTTTGACAACCAATATGTGGCTGAACAAACCCAATAGTTTATCAAAGTTTGATGTCATGGCACGCTCTCCTCCAGGTTTGGTTCATCTGATTGTTAATCGATACATCATTAAGTTTAATGAGGTATTTTTGGTTGGAGTTTAACAATTATTACACATAGGGTTACTACACTGAAATAGAAATGAAGAATGAAAATAAAGTGGTCTCATTTTTTCTCTCTTCTCATTTTCTTAACACCTCGTCCACTTAGTTGATTTACAGACTTCACTTTACCGTCGTTATGGGGAGATGGATTTTAGTTAAGCGTCTTGTGTCCACCAGATGCAGGTGATTGCACACATAATGATGGGTGCGATACCATAATGGGGGGAAAAAAGATGTAGAAAGGTACTTCTAACACAAAACCCCAGGGGGCAGCCTGTGGCTCAGCAGGTTAAGCCTCTGTGCCTGTGATCAGAAGGTCGCTGGTTCCAACCTCCATGTCTGCGGCTCCTTACACAAGGCCTTTAAGCCCCAGCTCCCTAGACGCCCCTCCGGGAGGCTGTCCTTTGCTGCCAAGCTCTCTTTCAGAGAGCAAAATGGGGGAGGTGAAAAGAGAATTCCCATACAGATCAATGAAGTATAACAAAACACTTGAAGAAGAACATGTAAATATGAACCGACAAAAATCGTCACAAACTCCTACATCATTTTAAACATGAATTTTGCTGCCTAATTGGCATACCATATAAATCGGTCGGACCTCAAAAAAAAATCACTCCCCAGCTTTACTCTCAGGTCACCATCCACATATGCCTGTAAAAACTACAGTTATTATTATACACAATGTGTCATGGATCCGGGCGGCTCGGGCACGGGAATGTGGCATAGTGCACAAAGGGCGGACGACCCACTGGCGGCTCCAGGAACAAAAAAAGGGGTCAGAACTAAAAAGGACCACGAGGAGTCAAAAAACCAAAGGGAATAAACTAACACTGCAAATCACAAATAAACAAACTGGGCAGGTAAACATACAACAGATCTAACTTAGCTTAGACAAGCAACAACACACCGGAACACATCATAGACAACACAGCACACAGACAACAACATGCTCAACACATTGAGCCACATGACCAGACAGGCAACACCTGCTGGTCAAACGGGGAAGGGACACGGAAGGACCACAGCAGGGGCTGACCCTGACACTATGAAACCCTGAAAAATGCGAATCTACCGCGCGCAACTTGCTACTTACCTGCTAAAAAGTATTTAGATGCTTTACGTCGAATATTAACTTTTTGGGCTTTTGAAACACCTGGTGGGTATTGCCCTTTGGCTTTGTAAACGAAAATCTGCCGATATACATCAGGATCCATGGCTAGACTGCGTGATCTTATTTAGTTTAAACCTTAGACGACTAACCTGTTCTCTGGCACAGAGTCTCTCAACCGAGAACCTTCCCTGATTAGCTGACGTCAAAGAGCTGTCAGGTGCGTCTTAAAGCTGTAACAGTAACAGAAATAAAACTTCAATCATTTAAAGAATGTTAAATGTCAGTATGAATTAATTAATAATGTATGTAATTATGAAGCTATATTTGCAATAAAAACATTATATGTATGAATAACAAATGAAGAAACAGTATTCAAAGGGGGTGCATTTCCCGACAGGTACCGTCCTGTAAAATGCACCCTCTCAGGATCTTTCTCTCGGATGATTGTGAAAGAAATTTGGCATGAGTCGATGAGTTTAAGAGTCTGACAAACTTTATTATCTTTACCAAAGCTTTGGGGAACAGACACTCAGCAATCTTTCATGCGTCTTGTGAACTGCTCTCCGAACAACAGGTGGATACAACTTTTATAGGCATAGAATTGCGACATTTTGCATCATTAGGACATCTTTCGATCAGCTGAGGAGGCAGCAGAGTAGTGGAATTTTCTGTGGTCACCTCGTTATCGGTCAACATCAGGTTAGAGGTAGGGTCGACCTTTCCATGGTCGCCCTTGTGGTTGTTATCACTACGACATCTCCACTTACCCTAGCAGTCCCCCTTCTCAGTGTCATATGTCTTGCTTATGTTGCAATAGCTTACGTCTCAAACTTAGGTCTGTACCTTAGTTTGGTTCTCTTGCAAATATATTAGTTCCGCTTTTAAGCATTTCAGCCTGCTACAGAATTATTGCACCATGTATCAGAGTCATAAACAGTAAGGTCATAAAACAGTAATTATACAATTGTATATAATTACATTTAACTGCTATAATTTGAATGGTAACATAATTTCATTATTAATTGCTTATTGCTTATTGCTTCGATACATGATTTGCATAGTAGTGATTAATATTCTAAAGTATAGGACAGAATTATATATAAAGGCATAGTATCAATTTTTCTTCCACATGATCATATCATAATTTTTTTGATAATACACACAGTGGACCTAAAGTTGATATCTGAGCAAGCTTCACAGATTCAATTTCAGTGCAGCTAGATTATGCTTTTCATAAATCCACACAATGGACCAACATCAATCAACAGTGCGAACTCTGTAAGGTACTAATAACACTGAGCCAGTTACTGAGCCAGTTTCTTAAATGTCATGCAAGTAAGTTGCCGTAAAATGCACCCCTTGCGTGCTGCACTGATATTGCATTTATGAAATTCAGTCATTATTAGGTAGTTCGTTAAATGTGTTGGTTGCTAACAGCACTTCGTGACAGAATCAAAAGAGAGAATGGAAATGCATTTCCTGGCAGGTAAGCCGTCATAAGGACGAACATCTTTTTTGTTTAGGTATTTATAAGATCACTGTACCGGAACATTCACTTCATTGTGGAGAAAAATAAATTACTAAATGTGTACAAGAAATCATATTGTGTAATTTTCTTTGGTTAATAAAGCCAATGACTTTCTTGTTCATAAACTTATAAACTAATGACGAGACAACCTATGTTCCCGTAACACCTGTTATTTGTCATGAAATACTACCTATCGAGACGTGCTATCGAGCCTTTCTGCGCATGTGCAGTTCCACCGTTTTGGGATTAGGGTTAGGTTTTAGGGGTTAGGGTTAAGGTAAGGGTTTTATGGGGTTTGGGGGGGTTAGGGTTAGTGTTAGGGTGAGAGTTAGGGTTAGGGCTATCAATTAGCACTACGGTAGCATTTTTCGACAAGGCAGCATATATCGACTGAACAAGCTGTCCTCCCGACAGGTGCGCATTTTTGACTGCAGGGGTGCAGAAATCGGCCCCCGGGGAAGTGGGGGGGTTCAGCAGCGCGTGCAAACCTACAACAGAGAGGCTCGCCAAGCACGCGAGTGAACAGACGCGCGCCGTCGCGTCCTCCGGCTGCACGCACATCGCAGCCCGATTGACGGAAATGCGTGGATGCAGCGCCCGGCACGTGGGCGCGATTAGTCGCGCTCCACCTATTCCTAGATACAAGCTTGGTACCGCGTGACGCAACTGCCCCCCCGAGGGAGCGTCAGCTGCAGCTCTCAGATAAGGCAAGGGACGAATACGGAGTTACTCTGCGCAGTCCCCGGGACGCGCGAAGCCTTTCATCTGGGCTTATTTCCAACCCCCCCAAAACTGCCCAATTAAGACTTCTTTTATAACTCAAATTTTCCCTAATGTGTTATTCATAATCAGTTCTATCGCACTAGAGTATTTATTGTAGGAAGCAGACATATCTTTATTAACATGTGACGTCAAATACCAACACGAATACATGTCTATGAACAGGGGCGTTGCTAGAGATTTTGGGCCCCATGAAAGCATATCATATTAGGCCCCCCAGTCCAAACCAATCCAGTTATTTTCCTAATTTTTTAGGGCCCCTGTCACTCAGGGGCCCTTGGAATCGTCCTAGCTTTCCTCCCCCTTACGGCGCCCCTGTCTATGAATATGATTTTTGGAGATATAATGTATCTATTTTAGGTTTTTTTTTTTTTTTTTTACTACAGATGAACTGAAGGCTGCTGTTTGCTAATGTTCCTCCATCCCATCAGAACTCACAGACATCTTGTTGGCACAATTTTTGTGATTTGCACTTGAAAACTGTGGCTTTAACTATGAGAACGTGTGAAACAACAGACTAACATCAGAGACAGTAATTAGCTTGGCAGGTCTTAATCAAAATCAAACCAAAGCATTGACACGTAATTAAAAGTGATAGCATGAAATTAAGCATGAGCATACCTTTTTTGGAGTTTTTGGATCTGGGTTATGGATTACTGTGGCGAATCAGTGAGAGAGTACATTTGTACCAGTGTGGATTTATATCAAGAACATTTTTAATGTCCCCAAAACAGCCACACTGTACTACATTGTTGTGATTCGATCTCTATCTATCTGTCTTGCACCTTATGGGGACAATCTGGACCAAACCATCTGGCCAGTCAGAGGGAGATTTCCTTCACTGAGAATGATCTGCTTCTGAAAATCCTGCCCTTTTAAGATACTCATGCATGTCAGTGTCTTGTCTGAATTATGAGAATTTCACATAAGGGTTTGTGCAGAGTGAGTATCTTTATTTGGTCCCGTACTCAGGGTTGGACTGGCACTGGAAATTGGCCTTGGGCAGGGTGGGGTTCCCACGACAACTTTTGCAGGCCCACATACCATATAAGCCCTGCCCTCTGTGACATCATTGCCTACTAAGCTCCACCCAAACCACCCAGTAATCTCTCCAATGTGATTTCATTCATCTTTGAAATTGTTGGCACTGCCTCCTATCCAATAAATTCATACTACCCATCTATCAAATTCAATAAAAATGCAAATCCTACTCCTTCAAAATACCTTGTTATAATCTTATATATCTCTTCCTGCTTCCATTTCCATGTATTATTTTCCCCAGTTTATATTGAAGTAATTATTATTTGATGTCATTATTTAAATAATTTGTTGTTGAATATTCATACAGTTTAGCAATATTAAAATGTAATCCCTTTGTCTTGTGCATAAGACCTCCCACACAGTTATTATGATAGTAAAAAAAATCATGTTAGCTTCCCCCATTGAGTCAAAATGTCAGCAATGGAATAAGCAAGCATTTGCCCTGCACTGCTGGACCCATTACAGGTGGGTGCAAAGGCAGATAGAGTCACGTTCTTATGTGCTGAGTCCAGGCATGTCAGGTATTTGCAGACCCCGCAGGTCCCTGGATGATTCATTAGTTCATCTCTCTGCTGTTCCATGGGGGGGTTGCTGCTACAATCATCCTTCAGTTTTCACCTCCCTGGTCCTGCAGTTCCGCGCTCCGCCGGCACCCCTGGCCTGCTGCTTTGTTACATTCTCTTAGCGTGTCTCCCCCTGTGTGGGGGACTCGCAGTTCCAACTCAAGTGACCACCTACACGTCTTCCTTCGCTGCCCACACAGCCATGCAAATGGAGACTCCTCTGCTGATGAGATTTTCTCCGGCCGACCAGCCAAAGGGAGTGGGAGCAGGAGAGGGAGCGGGAGAGTGAGCAGGAGAAGATGAGGGAGCGGGAGAGGGGGAGGGAGCAGGAGAGGGAGCAGGAGCGGGAGAGGGGGAGGGAGCAGGAGAGGGAGCAGGAGAGGGAGCGGGAGCAGGACATGGAGCGGGAGAGGGATAGGGAGCAGGAGATGGAGCGGGAGAGGGAGCAGGAGAGGGAGCATTCACAGGCGATCCTGTTTTCACACAGTGAGGCTGGTGGAGAAAGAGATATTAGACAGACAGACAGACAAAGAGGGTGGACAATCAGTGTTGAAGATATAGGTTTGTTAACAACCTGCTTTATTAAACCATAATCCCTCAGAAGTTCCGGTCTAGTTTTGTAGTTTAAGTGGGAACAGCACTACGCTAATGAGGATGGCGATTTGACACTTAGCACCGGAAGACTCTTCTGAACAGAAACGGTGGTTCCCAGGGAAAAAAATTACTGTTATTTTTGGCTAATAGACGGGAGCTGCGTTCACTGTGAATGCTGGGGGGGGCTTCTTTTGCATCTCAAGTGCTGCATCACAGCTGAGCCCTGGGGTGCCTATTCAACTTCATAATAGGGCTTGATAAACTTTGGTTTAAATATTGCAGTGATGTCAATGATAATTAATATGCTTCACATAGATCTGATAAAACAGCAGATTTTGGATGCAACCACAACATCTAGATTGGGACTTCTTTGGTAATAATCAATCAATCCATCTGTCCGTCTTCCATAACAGCTGAACCCCCCGGATCCTATGGCAGGAAGCACAGGGCATGACATGCACACATGCTCAGTCACACGCCACGTGCAAGTCAGAGACACCTTTGCAAAGAAACAGCCAGTGATGGGAATGGAACCCACAACCCTGCAGACATGTGGCTCAGTGGGCTAAGCCTGTGTGCCTGTAATCAGAAGGTCACTGGTTCAAATCCAGCAGGCCGCTAAGTACCCCCACAGACAGCTGCCCTTCACAGACAACCTACTCAACAAAATAGAGCAAGTTGAGGGAGGTGTAAAGACAATTTCCCCACAAGTATCAATTATTATTATTAGCAGCCACAGGGTCACCATGCCATCCTCTAAATCACTATATGCTAATATAGAATTTCTGCTTCTCCGAGATCATGGTAAGCAAAAGCTATGGAATGTCTGGAATTATTACATTCCACAAACCAAAAATAGGTAACGTCCCTATAGGCAATGGAATCATGATGTCATTATAGAGGAAGAAGCTCATTCCCGGCGTCTCACCGACATTCCTGGAATGAGGACACTTTTTTTCTGAACCCCTGCAAGATGATGTCCACCGGCCGGTAAATTCAGGCTGTTTCTGAAAGCCGGCTAGATGCTCGAGAGCAGATACAAAAGTGAAGCGTATGAGGCTCAGCATGCAGCGTCTCTTTGGGCGATTTCACTTTGCCAAACTGCAGATCTGCTCGGCCCCCCCTCACCATCCTATGTGCCTTCGTCCTGTCGACAGCGGCGGAAGTGGATTTTTAACCTTTTTGGGATAATGCAGCATTCAAGTGAGGAGGAGTGAAATGGAATAAAAGACCTTGAGCTCCAGGGACGAGAGCATAAAAGTGAGTTCAGTTCCTGTCACTTCCTGGGGCATTATCACTACTGAAACCTACTAAACCATCAAGAAGAGAACCTACAGGGTAAGGAGTACAGATGCCAAAATCCTTATTGTGACCCTGAATTAGAAATTTGTAAATATGTATTTTATATCATGTGAATAAACCAGAGAGAGTAGATTAGATCAATGTGTATATGCAACCGGTTTGGTACCCTCTACGGCAGGGGTGGGCAATCTAATCCACAAAGGTCCGGTGTGTATGCAGGGTTTCTGGATAACCTTTAGGTCAGCTGTTCAAACCCAGTTTCTAATTAGGGAATAGCAGCAGAAACCCGCAAACACGCCGGCCCTGTCTGTGTGAGATTGCCCTTCCCTGTTCTACAGTCAGACCTGCATCGCTGAGGCACACATGCAAGACGCACAGATTCACACACTTTTAGGGCACATGGCAAATATACAGGAGAAGAGACTGAAAAACACAGACATCAGCAATAATAGTGTGGAATGCCAGTGCAAATGCTGTGCAGCAAATCTGATGTGTTTAGATTTCCAGACACATAGCTATTTTTCTGGGGAAAATTGTCTTTTCCTGGATTTGCTAATGCTTTTTAGATTAATGATTTAATTATCAAATCACATTGCTCATGTATGTTGACTATGTTAAACTGGATTCCATCTTTTACGCCCTGTCATGATTCTGAGCTGTTCGTCACTCAGATCTAATCTCTTTACTTTATTCAAGCTCGTTTCAAAATGATCCAGAGTAACAGGCTAATAAATCAAATGGGAGGCAGTAATGTGGGAAATAGACTCTGGTCTGGCCTTCAGATCTGAGATGAGGGCGACACAGCGGCCATATTGTTTGCAACTGGCCGGTTACTGGGACTAGGTGGAGAATATTCACGTGAAACTGTGTAGAGAAAAGGTGTTAAGCTGGGACTAGAACACAAAGCTCAACATTATGATCATAATGTATCGTGTTCAGGGTCATGGGCTGGGAGGTTGTGGGTTTGCAACCTATCCTAGGGAGTACAGGGAACAAGTCTGGGACACTCTGGATGGGATTCAACTTATTCAACTTATTCACTGGATGGGATTCAACTTATTCAACTTATTCACTGGATGGGATTCAACTTATTCAACTTATTCACTGGATGGGATTCAACTTATTCAACTTATTCACTGGATGGGATTCAACTTATTTTTTGCAGCACAAAATGATGTAATTAGCTGATTCTGCTTATTTTTGGCAATTAATATATGGGAACCTGTATCTTTTTTTAGGTAATAATTATTTAAAGGCCACATTCATTAAGAAGTTTTTAATTTACGAACAGTCCACTGAAGGCTCGACTTTGGCCCACATGGTTCATTTTGAAATCTCATCAGGCTGTTTAAACCAGAATTTCCATTTCCCGATTATCCCAGGACCGGCTGGGATGGGGATTTTCTCTGAAGCTGAGTTGTCCTCCCTCTGTAGCTCAAACCCGTCGCTGGCATCGACAACGGAGTCAAATCTGATGCCTTTGCTTGATTTACATGTTTAATAATAAGGTTGTAACATATGTTTGCTCTCCAACTCCCAAATGACACAAATGAAAATAATTAAACAGATTTATCTTGTATCTATACTGTGAGAATCATTACGGTCCCGAGCGCGACCAAAGCCATGTCACATGATGTTAGAATGGCTGCCGTCACGCCTGAGAAAAAATCGCCACAACATTGAGCTCGGAAGGTGAGGAGAGATAAAGGGGAAAAAGGAGAGAGATGACGGAAGGCAGGGATTGTGACTTAGGGGCTGTACTGGTATCAGGGCATCTTGTTTTTGGGTAGGAAGGAAAGAATTTAAGTTTCCCTCAGGTCAGGTGTCGTGTGTTGTAAAAATAACAGAATAATTGAAGCCTCATCCAGGGGCAAGGGCATACGTTTGATTTTAACAGTGGTACAGGGACCAAATCAATGCCGAACCCCCCGCCCCCTAAAACACACACGTTACTCCCACAGTATTGGTAGGGACGTGTCCCTACCATCCATAATCAAATCTAAGCCCATGTCCAGGGGATAAAGGAGCAGGGAAAACCAATCAGAGAAAAAGACCCTGGTCATGTGACTTACCTGATCACCAGATTGGCCACTTGTCCATCTCAGGACAATGCTAAGCCATGCCTCTCACACACAGTGGGAAGTATGTGTAGGAAGCATACAGGCGGCAGAACGGCTTCCTCTAATGCCATTAAAAGCGACGGACTAAGTTTGGCCTACAGAATAATAAGTATCAGAGAATATCCGGCAAAACGGAACAACACTGACACAGCCTCTGCTGGAATCGTCTTGCGGGACGTTCAGATGCGGTCCACTTCTCTGTAGTCCTGAGGACAGAAAACTGTTGAAAGAAAAATTACTTCAGACCCTAATCAAATAGCAATATTTTGACTGGGAAAGTGAAATGAACACAACGGCCTCAAACAGACGAAGGTTGTTTTAAAAACAACGCTGCATTGTAGCAGTGTGTGACGACCAATGACGTCCGGGTCCCACAAACTGTCCCAGAAGGATATCTGTTGTCATCTATTATCTAAATCATTGTCTTCATTGCCTTTGTTCCACAGTCCTTCATTAGTTAATGCCCAGACTGCTTATACACTTTCTTGCAGATTATTTTTCAGACTGCTGTGAAAAAATTTAATAACTTATTACATTATTATAATGATGTGATTAATAATAATTATAATAATTACTATTCTTATTATTATTATAAATCCTGTAAGAAAGTCATTACTTTCAATCACAATATTTCTTTACATCTGAAGCCTATATTTTGGTTACAAATCAAGTAATATAAAAATAATACTATTAAAAGTAAAGTTTTTAAAGTTTTTTTCTCTACTGAACTAAATTTAACCTCTTTTGAGGAATGTAGTGTCCATTAGGGAGGACGGGAACAACCTGAGCCAGATTAAAATAGAGCCGGAGAGAGATCTAATTTAGTCTTGTGACACTATATAATATAAATTCGCCTTCCACCAGGGGCATCCCGCTTTAAACACAGACGGAGCACAGCCATCAAACAGATGTGGGAGAATCAGTCCGCACTGTACAGACAGTGCCAGTCATGGATGACAGAGACTGTGCTTTTTGGCAAAGCTTTTTTTCTCCATTTTTTTTAGCAGATGCTTTCACCCAAAGTGATATGCGACTGAGAAAGCAGGGCCAGCCAATCCCTGGAGCAATCAGGGTTACGGGCCTTGCACAACAGCCAATCAGGGTTATGGGCCTTGCACAAGAGCCAATCAGGGTTACGGGCCTTGCACAGGATTTGACCAAGTGACCTTGTGGTCATGTGCACACCCTCAGAAAAAAGGGTACAAATTTGTACCTTTTATGTTACAGTAATGGACTCTGAGGAACATCCCAAATGTACAAATAGCATTAATATACCAAGAATGGTACAGAAATGTTCCTCAGAGTCCATTTCTGTACCTTTAAATGTACAATTACCTAAGGTTAAGGGTACAATTGGCAGACCCTTGAGGGTACAGCCCCGGTAACAAGGTAGAAATATTTACCTTTTTTTTCCTGGGAGTGTCGTTATTCAATAAAACCCTGTTCACATAATGTTTTCATACTCATCATTTGTAATGTTTGTCCTGTAATTCTCAAAAGATATCCACAGTGCCGTCCTGCAGCATATAGGCTGCTATACCATTCTGTAGTCAATATACATAAATGCCTAATTTGTATATTTAACTGTAGCAGCCTCCCCTGGATTTGAGGCACTGCCTGCCTTGTCAGTGCTGCTTAACAATCAGGATGTTTACTGCGGGCGGCGTGTGACTCAGCGGGTTAGGTTTGAGGGTTGGGGTTAGGATTAGGGTTAGGTTTGACGGTTGGGGTTAGGATTAGGGTTAGGTTTGAGGGTCGGGGTTAGGATTAGGCTTAGGTTTGAGGGTTGGGGAGGTTTGAGGGTTGGGGTTAGGATCATGGATAGGGTTAGGTTTGAGGATTGGGGTTAGGACTCTTTGTTCAAGTCTCGTGGTTGGTAATTTCGCTGTTGGGCCCCAGGGCGAGGGCCCTTAACCCCCAAGGGCTCCAAGGACTGGCAGACCATATTCTCTCAGTTGTATATCACTTTTGATAAAAGGTTCTGCTAAATAAATAAAGTGTAATGAGCAATTCAAATAATGAGGAGAATCACGCCTCAGCAAAAAGCTTTTAGCTTGAAATCCACAGGTGGGCCAAAGTTACACCACAGTAACAATAACGTTCTGATCCATGGCTGTTATTTCCTTTGATTTGATGTAAGCTAAATGGCTGATTAGCATACCAAGGTTTGCATGCTGTCATCTCACTGTTTACCCGTCGGCGCTCACTGAAACCAAGAGCTCCATCAAACAGACACTAAACCATAGGTTTAATTCCTTTATTTCTTTAGTCCTACAACATGCCTACAGTGTTTAAAGTACAGTCTGTAATCAGTACCCGGGTCTTCAAACAGACAAACATCTCCCTGGAAAAGAAAAAATATTAAATGATGAAAAGAAAAAAAAAAACTCAATTTCCAGCCACTCTCCTCATTTGTAATACATTAGCATAATAAATGTTTTTCCCCGGCGCCATTAGCCAAATATAAATCCCAACAGCGAGAGGCAGAAGCCCTCCCCTACCATCATTATCTAACAACAAGATAAGTCAAATACCCATTTCCATTAATCTTTTCTTTAATTACGGCATGGTTAAGAAAATAGGCTTGTTACTATGGTAATGAACATAAAAGCATTCCTACTATATAAAATTTACCGAAATGGGGGATTGATCAAATGCTTAATGTCAGAAAATAAGGCCAGATTAAAACTGAGGAAGCTGCAGCATGATTCGACTGAAATGTGTGAAAGACAGTAATTTCAGGCACTTAATTCTCTAGAATGCTTGGCTACATTGTGCTTTGTTACCTGCGGTTCATGCGCTGCAAGACTGCCTAACCCTTTATAAGTACACAAAGCCGTTTCCGCAAGACAAGGCAACAGGTTGCACTAATACATTCATATACAACTTTTTAAAGGGTAATTCTTTTCCCCAACCATCCCATACAACATCAAGGTTTTATATATACAAGTTCATTCTTCCAGTTACAGGAGCCCAATGAAACTGTAAACTTAACTGGTTATATACTGAGATTAATGTCACAACATGCCCCGTGCAGATGCCCAGTAAATATCCGGGAGTGTGGTTCACTGGGTGCTAAAACTTACTGGGGAACTGGTACATAGTTATGTTCTGTGGTGATATTTAGGTTTTGGATGTTATGGATTCATATGGAGATGTAACATGTGACGTTTTTCAGTTTGGGGTTGAATATCAAGAATAGTGAGAGCCCATTAAAACAAAGCAATACATAAAATGGTCTGAAGTAATGTGCTATAAAAACAATGAAGACTTAGAAAATACGCAGCAATGGCAAATTATCATGAAGTGCTGGATTTTTCCATCCATCCATCCATCCATCATCACAGCACCTTCAAAATAACTTTTCCTACCATCTCCTTGCATGAACAATGGCATATTTATGAAGGGTTAGCAGGTTACAGGAACCTTTTTAGGGTGGAAATGACTCGACAGGAAAGCAGGTGGGTATTTAAGGGTTAAACCTGAGTTCTCTACTCTCAAAAAACTCCTGCTTTTTATTTTAAACTGAACTACAAGGTGAGTCTGTGAAAAACTGAAGGTCGTCAGTAATAATCAAAAAGGTCAAACTGCACAAAACTCACACATCCTCAGAGATTGATTTGTTCTGCATTCTTTCCTTTAAGTCATAGTCGTTCAAGTTTAACGAAGGAATTAAAAACTGAACTTTCAAGTCAAAATTCAACTTTTCATTACATTTCAATGGCTTTTGTTACGCCGGACAATACGGTTCAGTAAAAATGAGAATAGGAATCATCAACAGATTCCTATTCAAAAGTATCACACTACTCAGGGGAAGCAAAAACATGAAACAAGCAGGTTCTGTCCAGATTATTCGGAAGTGAATTCCGGTTCCCTAATCCTGGGTCCTGACCCCTGCAGGCAGGATGATGTGTGGTGACTGATGTGGGTCAGGAGGCCACGCCTCCGTTTGGGGCGGAGTCATACCACAGTGCTGACATCCTCCCCGTCGTCCTGCTTCTTCGGCTTGCTGGGGAGGGACTTGAGGTACTCCAGGTGACGCCGGGCATCCTCCTGGTTCTGCCGGACGTAGTACACCACGTAGGAGATGACCATGGCGAACCAACCGAACATGGTGACCAGCATGGCATAGTCTGTGGTGCGCTTGGTCAGGTTACAGAGGTCGGCATCCACCGAGAGGAAAGGCCGTCCTTCCAGGTCTTGGAGATCGGAAGTCTTGCAGAGCACCTGGCCGGCCGCCTCGTGGTTGTAGAACATGCCACGGAGGGCCTGTTGCAAGGTGCAGTCACAGTGCCAAGGGTTGTGACCCATGTGGATTCGGGCCTTTAACTGGGCGAAGGTGTCCTTGTGCACTAGGCTGATCAGGTTGTGGGAGATGTCCAGGGCCTGCAGTGTGTCCTCCACACCTTGGAGGGCGCTATCGCCCAGCGTCTCTAGTGCGTTGTGCGACAGGTTGATCTCCCGCAACCGGTTCAGCCCCTGAAATACCCGGGCTGGGACTGAAGTGATCTGATTGTGGTCCAGTCGCAGCAGAACCGTGTCTGGGGGCAGCTCAGACGGGATCTCCTTCAGCTGAGCATGGCTGCAGTTGACACTGAGGCCATCGCCACGGAGACAGGTGCAGCCCTTCGGGCACATGCTGGCGGACGGGAAGCACAGGGCCATGAGGACAAGGCTCTGGAGCATCAAGCACATGGGGATGGAGCGGGACAGCCACAGGTCCAGCAGAGTCATACTGAGCAGCCGTCAGCATAACCCCGCCAAAGGCCGGAGTCGACCCAGTGACCCGCTGCTCACTCGTGCCCCATCCTGTGGGACTGAGCCTCACTGCCTTCCCCGGCTGGCCGGGGAAACAGCCTTCTGTCCAGATGATCTCATTGTGCGTCCGCACTGCTACAGCCTGGAACAGAGAGAAGCCAGCGTCATTTAATATATATAATACCCACTAGCAGAAAAATAGGGAGGCTGCTGCTTTACATTATTTAACAGCGTAAACTTGTCATAATAGAGACACATCAGCAGTGCAAAGAAAACTACGAGAGTAAATCCAATATTAGTACCATGTGCAGAATAATATGCATCATCACTTGAATGAGGGCCTTTAGGTATATATATATATATCCAGGGAATCCATAGACAATAGTAATACAAACTCATAAAACATTTCAACAAATGGCACAGCAATGACACATTCATTAACTCAGAATGTGACTTGGATGTAATTCACTGTAGCTTAACGTTAACTGCAGATACTCATCAAATTTTTATACATGCTTTTTTTGTGTAGGAGGGTAAGACAAGGGAAGCAAAATATAATTTTTTATTATATCTAGTTATTTAATATTTTTCCATATTAACATAATAATAGAGATACCAGCTGGTCTATGCTCACTGTGTTATATAAGATAACATTCTGCCTTACACTGTACTACAGTCAGGTGGAACATTTCTGCCGGACTCGGCGTGAAACGGTGCACGCAGGTGGAAACGACAATCGGCCAGTCGGATAATGAGCTTAAACCTTGCATAGGTGAGACTCATCAGGGCCTGGAAGTGCCTCTGTGGGGGTCTTCTGGGTCGTGTGTTTGCTTTTAGGTCGTCAGAGAACAGGATGGAGATGCTGCACTCCCTCCTAACGGCTCTGTGTCGTCCAGCTGGTGCACGGATCACACCTGGCTGAGATCTACCTAAGCAAGGCTCCTCCAGGCTCCGCACAATAGATTCATCATCATTAAGCTCCTAGATTTCACTTGTTCTTCCCACTTGCAAGATTTGCCAGTAAAAAAAAAACCACACACTCACACAACGATGTCATTCTCTGCGAAAAACAAAGCACACCTGATTTATGGTCTGAAAAATGGTGCAGATTAAAGCATAGGCCCAAGACCCTTGATCGGCAGATTTTATCGACAACTGCCCCCCCCCACCCAGGTCTGCAAGCTTTTACCCCGAGGATTATTGACATTGCATCGTTTTAAATTCTCTCTCATTTCTCCTTTGTCACAAAGAGGCCTTGGGGGGTTAACTAGCTATGTCAGCCTAGGACCCCCAGAGAAGTTAATCCACCCCTGGTTAAGTTTTACTATTATTTATCATTTGTTAATGCAGCACATAATTCAGCCATTGTCCAAATGCTTATCCTAGGTACTCAGAGCCAATCCCAGGCAGTACAGGGCAGAGAGCCAGGGTAGAGGATGCCACCCCATCGCAGGGCAGATACACCGACGACAGACACCAGTTAGCCTAACTGCAGCGGAGCGGAGTGCCCTGTGGAGACGCGGAGACCAGGAACAGGAATCAAACCCTCAACCCTGGAGCTGGTGGTGCTATAGCCACCGGCCGCCATGCCCCCCACGCGTGATGCACGGCGCACCGTTTAGGAAACGTGCGCGTGCACGTGCGAGACCACACTGAGCTTCCACAGGAATGCTGAGGACAGCATCACAAAGCACTTCCTCATCGCCCGGAAGGGAGCCACCTGGAGAACAATGAAACGTCCACAAAAATCAGGTTCTCAAACCTTCTCTCAATGTATGAAGCCCAGGAGGCTTCCAGTAATTTTCCTAACGAGCGTTCGTTAATTTCAACCTCTGGATTACATCACCTGTAATAAAACCCAGAAATATTACCCATCCTTCTTCTCAGTTGTATTACTGCCTAAGCAAAGGGGTCTACACAACTCCCCAGGTACAGCCCAGGGGTACATGCTGATCTGTTTGCCCAGATCTCTATTACAGAGGGGCAGAACCCTGAAAATCCCTGGCCAATCATCATCCCTCAATACATGGACTCCCTGGACCAGCATGATCTTTAGCCAATCACATCAATGCGATGACCTACGTACATAAGGGAACACACCTTCCATGCTGGGAAGAGGAACTTTGTGAGTATACATCACCCAGAGAGTACCTGTGCTAGCAGAACCATGGGAGGTAGAGGGGATATTTTAGGAATCTAGATAGAGGTTCAACTGGATTTACACTGAACTGGTACTCTGCAAGATCCCTGGAAGTACTGATCTGACACCATCTTAATTTAAATGGTGTTAAAAGAAACTGAAGACGCCTCTAAAATGACTACTGTTGAATATTGATAAAATAGTAGCTAGATCATATCATAACATATTGTAATATGAATATTTACATATTTTACAGCAGAAAATAATGATGTGTGAAAACTAGACTAATGCCCAGCTTAATTAAATGAATCCCTTTCTGAGCCTTAAGAAATGAATACTGAAGCAGACATTTCCATTTCAGCTGATGTCGTAGGTTTTGATGTAAATCCTCCTGCGTCTCCCAGAGCAAAATTTGATTTCCAGTGGGAATCTGTTCTCCCCGCTTGGATTCCAAAGATAAACTGAGACGTTCCTCCCTAGAGGTCGTGTAAGACCAGTGGTCAAGTAAGAGGATCTTCGATGTGGCAGTAATCTCATTTTCATCACTGCCAGATGACCATTTCCTGCAAATTAAGTCATTTTAATTGCTCCTATTTTAAAAATAGGCAAATAACGCCACCATCAGAGTGAAACTTGAAAAAAGTGCCAATTGTACGTTTGAGAGTACAATTACTTGTGGGTATATTAATGCTGGGGTATACTAATTGGGGTATATTAATGTTGCTTGTACCCTGAGGAATCAAACTGTACCAGGGCTGAATAAACATTCAGATTTACATTATGGTAAGATATAAACGATAAGCTCTGTAACAGCACCTAAATAACCCCAGTGAACAGGTGAGTAAGAGGTGGCTCTTTCTCGAGCGCGTCCTTCAGAGAGGATAAGGCGTCTTGAACTTGACTCCCGGCCGTCAGGCATCTGTCCAGCCTCTACCCGGGCTCATTCGGTCCTCCCACCCCTACCGTGCCCCAAGCACACGCCAATCACTACCCACGCATCGGCGGCACGAGGCTGCATCAAGGACATCGCTGCAAGCGTGCCTGCTGTGACCGTACAACACAGTTTCCCAATGCAGAGCCGGTCTCCTGTTTCAAAATGTGCATAATAGACACAAAGGTGAATTCCCGGAAGACCTTGGAGGACAATAAAAATCGTGTCATCACCTAATGTCTCGTGCAAATCTGTACTCAAAGGCAAGCAGCTGACAAGAAAGTCTTTTCTATACCTTCTATACCTTCTATGCCTGATTGACCTGTTCTTCCTTCCTTATGATCCATCACCTTCTCATCAAGGCATATCACAAGAAATTCTACAATACACTTATTTTCAGAGCACCTAGAGGAGGCAGGACCAAGACATCTGATTAGTTGGTTCCGCCTTCTCTATAGTTACTTGGACCCAAGTCCTGTACAAACTGATTGGTTATCTCTTTGAACCACAAATTTTTCCTTCTGCCCTCAGAACATTTTTGTGTACATAAAACTCCCATGAGCTACAATCACAATGCACTCAAGTCCAGAATCTAAGCAATGGTAAGGCACTTATCACGCCATTTTAATTTCATGTTTCCAAACTCACATGCGCCGATATCTCCGACATGTGCAAACACCATCTGAAGTCTTTTTGTTTTTGGTCAAGACTGCATTTACTTGAAGTCCCCCTGCCCTTCCCCTCACAGCCTTCCAGTGGCTTTTGCATGGGCCCCTGGAGATGTGGGGGCCATCTGCTGGCCATAGACTGTCACTACAATGAGTTTTTGAGTGTGGCCCCAGAAAACAACAAGCCCCGCCCTTGCTCACAGCGACACAAATCACACTGCAATTCACATGTACACAGGCCGTTATATTTTGTGTCTGATCTTTCGGGTTAAAAGGTCTGGGCTCTGTTTCACTTCAATACGCAACTAAACTTAGAGGCAGAATCAAACCGCATCCCCATCCTTGTGTGACACATACAGCAGAGTGCTGCACTGGACCTGCTATTACGGACTCACACCTGTGCTTAACCCCTGGTTCTGGCACACATACGTGACCTTTCTGAGCTGAGGATTCACCATGGTTCACTCTGTTCATAGCCTCGTGACTTGCAAGCTGCACTTTCATAACTCTCCCTTAATTGTGAGATAGACCTACACTCGCAGAAAAAAGCATAAAAATGTGTACCTTTGCCTGGGCCTGTACCCTTGTAATTGTACCTGTTAAGGTACAGAAATGGACTCTGAGGAACATCCCAAAGGTACAAACTTAATGTACCATCAATGGTACAGAGATGTTCCTCAGAGTCCATCTCTGTACCTTAAAAGGTACAACTACCTACAGCTAAGGGGACAATTGGCAGAGCTTTCAGGGTACAGCCCCGGTGACAAGCAAAGGTACAAATTTTACCTCTTGTTTCTTATTTCAGGGAGTATAACTTAAGCAGATTGTTGAATTAGATTATGATTAATTATTAGGCCAGAAAAATATATAATGATTCTTCCCTTTTTTTTAAACAGTACTACTAACTGTCAGTCTGAAAACCTTGGAAAGTGGTTAAGGTGAAATACGTTTGTCAGACCTGTTAAGGGCCACTATTTTAACTGCTGACTAACTAGTTTAATTTTTTTAATACTTGCCTGTTCAGAAAGTAGGCTTTTGTTCAATAATACAAAATAAAACTGACCCAACTAACTGTTAAACTTATGTTTGCTTTGTTAAAACATTCACAATATTCATTTTCAGATAATAAACTGCATTAAGCCAATTTTAATCTAATAAACTATTGGAATCATATTATGAACGCAGTGAACGCATTCGATACCATCGTAACTGCAGCTGTTTAGATTGCTTAGTATATCCTATAGGAATGTACATAATACATCACAAATACTAAAACGAAAATATATAGCCTATATGTGTGTGTGTGTTTTATATTTATACAACACAAATACAAAAAGGACGTTTATTTTATATGAATAGGTCATATCATGGTTTATATTAATTGATATATTTTGTGGAGACGTGGAATTACTCACGTGTGTATCTTATAACTTAGACCTTGTGATGACATTTCATCACTCCCAGTGAACAAACCATGACACCCTCAGAGTGGCCGCTCTCCTTCGGCACGGCGTCGCTATTCCTATAGGCCAGTTCGCAGTACTTTCGTGCAAACTTCGAAGGGCTGCGCATCCATCTCCTACCTACCGTTATGCTCATGCGAAGTTACCCCGAAGAAAGAGCCCCCGAACTGACCAAGTTCGACGGAGACTCCAAGGTCCGACCGCCGGCGATATAACCCCGGCGAGCCACCCCCCCTGAGCATCCCCGGCGCTCGCCCTCCCAGTTCCCGAGCTTGTCCGGAGCAGCTGTCGCTTTGAAATGCAGGGACATGCTGTCACATCCCGCAGACGAATGAAACGGCTCGCCGGGGATCGTGGAGAAGGGCTTTCCTGTTACGCCTTTGATGAAGCGCCGCGTTTCGGTGCGGCGTGGGGGTTTATCCGGTCAAGCGTGGCAGTCATACGGTGACTAAGTGCAATAATGCACCGCAAAGCACCTAAAAAAATGTACAGTTGCGTGCTTTCAAAAAATCTATTTTGAATTCCAAATTTTAAGGGTAGCGACTTGTCTCTGATAGTAGTTTTTGCATTTATACATCCAATCACTTAGAATAATTAACATAATTAATGATGACTAGAGACGTTTTATATATTGCATTAACTACTGACAACATTTAAAGATCCAAAAGAAAGCAGAAAAGACCAAATGACAGGTTCGCTCGGTGACAGGGTAGCAACGCAGAGCAACAGGCGACACGCATTTCCTTACCTGCGACAAAAACAGTCTTCGGGTGATCGCTCCCCAGCGCCGACATGCTAAAGCGGCTTGTTAAACGCAGCCAGGAGTGGCCCTAAGCCTGCGATCGTCTCCTCCGGCAGCTGTGCCCTTCCACATCTTTCCAGCTGCGGCGGTTTTCGGGGATGGAAGGGAGGAGTCCGAGGAGGAAGGGCAGCAGATCGGAGCCGCGCGGTAGGTGTCGCCCGTCTGACTCCCGTTTGACGGATTGAGCGTCGCTGTCACATTAAACACCCCGACGTGCGCAAAGCGGATCGGCGGCGTCGGGTGACTTATTATTACAGTCCAGCTTGGCTTTTGTGCCGATCTGCGTGTGGCGTCTGAGCATCGGTCAGACCCGCAGTTTCCTCGCCTAAGCAGCGCATAAGCGCGTCTGAACGGAAATTGACAGAAAAATGCATTTGTTGGCAAATGTGAATTGTAAGCAGTCTGGAAGCATCGATGGCAACGGGCACATTTTGCTCCATGTGATATTCAGTAGGCTACGTTACATAAAAGCCCTAACTGCTCACTTTGCAATCAATTACATTGCATATTGCTGCATTATTTCTTCGTTTGCTTAAGTTTACTTGTCTTGTACCGCAACCTGCCCGTCACGTTAGTCAGTGACTCATCTGTGGTTTTTATAGCATACAAACTACCGTAAAATACACCTTCTATCTCCAGAAGTACAAGCAAATCAGAGCATTTTTTTGAAAAATGAGATGAAGAGTGGGTGGGAACAGGTGGCCTAAGTGGTATCCTTGAAAATCGAGAGATACTGCTGTTGGACTTTTTAGAATATTACTTAACCTGAATTACTTCTGAAAATGATCCAGCTTTATAAATTCAGCGAACGATAAGTGCCAAACCATTCATTGTAAAAGTGTTTGTTCGCCAGAAACAAATGAAACTGACCTTAGATAACCTGCTGTGACGCGCACTACCAATGAGTCAGTCTAAATTGGCTAAAAACCAAACGGCAGGGAAGTAATAAAAAACGAAATAAATAAATAATACATACATACCCACAGACGACAATAACAATAACAATAGGGAAAAAAATGGAATTAAAATATTGCGAAAGCATATTTTACGTAAGGGTGTCAAAGCACGTTTCCTCGTTTTGTCTCAACTTTACTCATCGGGCTGCCCACACTTCTGCGCTCCCCGTGTGATCCACAGCGCGCAGGCTGTCTAGAAAGGCTCCAGGAATAGACGCTGTTTCATAATACATCAGCATGGGTAACATACGTCCTGGAGGATGACATCGGGCCGCTTGGATTTCGATCGTAGCCAAAAGCGTCGGCTGCGTCTGGCGGGTAACGGGAATGTGCGTAAAATGCACTGACTAATACACGTGTTTTTCCTCCCTCTAGGTGAACTTTAAATCTATTAACCCTCCTTAAATCCATTTTCACACACACCAATACCGCTACTGTTCAGTTTAAACGCTTGCGGATGCCGACATTGATTGTGTTAGTTTTTGTGCTAGTGCTGGTTTTTGTGCATTTTCTGTACACTCACACCTCCGGTGTCGTGGGCGCACAAACCACCTCCGCTCTGTGTCAGCGCGCCTGGACTTTCCTGAGATTTTCCTCCGACGGTCCAAAGGAAAAAAGTTAATTTGCGTCTCTGAATTATGAGTAGGCCTATGACTGTGTATGTGCAATGGGCTGACATTGCGTCCGAGGCGTGCCACTGCCCCGTGCCCCAGGACATGCGATTGTATGGATATTAAAATACGCCAAAATTTAAATTTCTTTTTGTATTATTATAATTAGCTCTAATTACTTAAATTCGGAATTAGCGCTGTGAATCAGAGCCAGTATTGTAATTTGCTGTTAATATTTCATATTGATATGATTAACTCAGTTAAGTAGATATGAAATAATTGATTGGCCGAAGGGGTTTATTTTTTGTATAAAGGTCTCATAAATGTTTCTGATTTGCCATGAAATGTTATCTCTGCAACTCTAAATCTGAATATATTGTTTGTTTTGGGTGTTTTTTTAAGCACATAAGCCTGTAGCCCAAATGTAAACAGTTATACCTTACCCTTGGGTCACAGGGACGGCGGACTTCCACTCCCAGCACCCAGCACTCAGTGGATTAATTACAGAAGTTGTCTGCTTTGGCTTGTTTGGTTGCAGGTGTGAGTGATTTACAGATTTGGCGACTTTCCAGTTTGTACCTGATAGCTACTGGAAACGCCTGGCCGATGCGCTTTTACTTTGTTTTCAAATGATAGCTTTTATTCTAACACTGAGTCATCATGGGGAACTGCAGTCCTCGCAGTATCGCAGTTAGAATCTGACCATCAATCTTATTAGTGGTGTTACCTGTTAAACAGCTTTTCTGATGTTAGGCTGTGACTGTTTTCAGTAGCTCTGTCCTGCACTTGCTCTGTCCTGCACTTGCTCTGTCCTGCACTTGCTCTGTCCTGCACTTGCTACCGGACGCTCTGTCCTGCACTTGCTACCGGACGCTCTGTCCTGCACTTGCTACCGGACGCTCTGTTCTGCACTTGCTCTGTTCTGCACTGCATGGCCGCTCAGTTGGCACCTTGTCAACCGTATGCCTGTTATGTATTTTCGTTCTTTCATGTGTGTCGCTCTCAGAACAAGTACCTGCCGAATAAATCGGTGTAAATGCAGCGCCCCCCCACCAAGAGGGCACCCTGGGCTCTTTGACTAACCCAATACACAGAACCAATTTCTCACTGTCTCCCAAAATCGTGTCCCGACCCACTTACCTGTATTAACTAAACTCTAACTTCAGCCATGCGACACTTATCTGTGGCCAAATGGAAAGGCACAGACATCCAAAAGAACCAGAACCTGAACTTATTTTGTTATTCTTAGTCCAAATGGTTAATTATGAACTATATTCAATTTTACTTTAACCTGTTAATGAATGAAATAAGATTCCTTTAACCACTGTGTTACACCAATATAGTGTGTAAATTACACAGTAAAAAGCCCGTATTTCCCGCCCACGGCTATATTAAAGACTAGGTACATACAGGTATATCAGAGGTACGGGGGCGCAGGGGAGGGCTGGTCTGGTTTCCGCAGTAAAGTGTTTTTTTTTTCGTCGTCTTTGCGGTTTTATTTTTGGAGTCTGCGCTGCTGGAGGATTGACTGTCACCTTCTCTGACCCTTTAAAAACTTTGCTTTCCATGTCGGCAAGGCAGCATGTATAGGCAAATTTGTTTTAGTCTTCAGATTGGTTGCATTTATAACAATGCAATTTGATATCTCATTAATATTTATTTTGTATTAAGCTTCCATCAACGGTGGGTCTAGCAGAGTGCAGCTTGGTCCTTGTAATGAAAAATTGTCCTTTTTTATACTGAATCAACGGGGTCTGGGGAAAAACATTGTAAATACAGTAAAGCCGATGCTGAACGCTGCTTTACGAAAACCCTGCGTCATGCATTCAAGACCAAAAAAAACAGGATTCCTGCTTAAAGTCGCAATTTCAAATCACACAGCTGGGAAACCTTAAGCTCTACTGATGACGACTCTGAAGAATATGAACGCAGCCGTTCAACAAAGCTGGATTTTCTGGCCAACTTTGCTGATGAGAAACAGTAATCAGAGCCTGAGTGTGAGTAATGAGGGCCGGGGGACCGTGCTTGTGATTGAGGTCAAACAGAGAAGGGAGAGTGTGGGTATAACTAGACCCGTGTTTTCTGGCAGGGCTTATCTAGGGCGAGCTCGGCATGTTTAGCTTAGCATGTTGTCGCTCCAAGATGTGTACAGTGCATGTTTGGTTCCACTCTTGCCTCTGAGGTTTGGATGTTCAGGCATGAGAATGAGAGTCAATCCAGGAAAGCACCCATATCTTCATCCCTATCCATGTAACGGAATTAGGTGTCAATTATTTGCTTTTATTAATAGCAGAGTCCTGTAGATGGTGATTCAGTGTGCCAAGCAAATCAACAGGACACAACCGCCTGCACTGCAGGACATCGACATCCCTCCGATGTAGGTCCATGGCATTAAATATCATCAGAGACACTCAGCACCCGCGCCATAGACCAGTGCCATAGACCCGCGCCATAGACCAGCGCCATAGACCCGCGCCATAGACCTGCGCTATAGACCAGTGCCATAGACCCGCGCCATAGACCAGCGCCATAGACCCGCGCTATAGACCAGTGCCATAGACCCGCGCCATAGACCAGTGCCATAGACCCGTGCCATAGACCAGTGCCATAGACCAGTGCCATAGACCTGCGCCATAGACCCGCGCCATAGACCCGTTCCATAGACTGAGGCAGAAGAGAAGCTTCTACCCTCTGGAAATTAGAACCATTAACACCACCTATTAAATAAGGTTTGCCTGAAACCTGCACTTAAGTTTTTTTCCTCATATTTTCTTATAACTTTTTCTTATAGCTTGACTTTAGTATACTTTTTATATGTTTCTATATCGTAATACTTCTTTTGTTAATTTATGACATTTCATTTGGTTATCCTTCTACCTTCTTATTGCAGACTGGAGTACCACAGCATTCATCCATGATGAATGAATGATTGATCCTAAGTCAGGATGTGATTGGAAGATGGGGGGATCGCCAACAGTTGGGGGAATCCCACCCCCTGGTTTATGAGTGTGGCGTTTCCCCCTGATCTGTGGGTTTCCTCTAGGTACTCGGGATTCCTGACGCAGTCCAAAAACCGAGGGTTAAGGGAATCAGTGTCCACGGTATGTGGGTGTGTGCCCGGCGATGCACTGACGTCCAGTCCAGGGTGTTTCAAGTTCTATGCCCTGTGCGTCCTGGGATAGATTCCAGGCTTTCTGTGTCCATGAGCGTAGCACAGTAAAACTGCTGAGCACGATGCTGTCTTCCGAGATTCTGTGCAGGTAAGCATACCCACAATATCCCAGCAACTCCAACGTCTTGTTGGGACAGAGCACTTTTATCATGTGCTGCTGGACAGGCCCTCTGCGGGACTGCAGGAACTTCACCGGAAAGGCCTCCGAGTACAGATGCCTTCTGCAGCTTGGCACCGTATGTGCCTCATAATATAGATATTTAGACCTCTGACACTCCTGTTCCTGCTGTCACAGGTTCAGCACCATGAAGTGATGTGTCTGTGGGTCTAATTCTGACTCCATGTTGCATCTTCAGAGTTCATGCACAGGGTCCAATTCCAGGTCCCCAGTCATTGGTAAAGAGGCAATCTTCAGCCTCCTAAAAGTACGGGGATTGGGAGGAAAGCTAATTGGACAGTTCTTGGCTAACAGAGGTGGATAGTTCAGGTACATAAAGTAAAAATCCAGACCAAGATTTTGGTTCAGCCATTCAATCGAGTACTTTATGACTGTGACTCTTTACACTCAACTGATTGGCTGAAACAAAATCTTGGTGTTGATCTTCACTTTCCGAATCTGAACGATCCACCTCTGTTGGCCAGTCATACTCGGAGGGGGGGGGAGGTCGGTGGAATTGCCATGTGAACTGCCATCCACACCAATAGTGTCAACACTCCTCCTTTTCACTGCCCCCCCTGGAGCAAAGAGACGCAGATGGATCACAGTAATACCTACCTGTCATGTGCCTGGGAACAGCATTCTGGTGGTCAGGATTCCTTCTTTCTCTCTGTTTCAGAGCTCACAGAAGAGCCTGCGGCAGTGGAAAGGGTGCATCTGTCATCCAGGCCAGCAGGTGGCGCTACTCCTTTACGGCAGTTGGTTTGCATTTTCCATGAAAGAAGCTTGGGATGTCAAGAATTTGGCCAGACAAACGTCACAGGCAAAATTAGATGGACAGGAAGGGTACATGTGCTGGAGGGGGAGTGGCTTCTGAAAATGGCTTCGACATTCACGGTCCTCCAGTAAACTGTCACACTGCAAAAGGCTCGTTACGTAGGACACTGGAAAATATGTTTTCCTGTTCCGTCACTCTCTTCAGTGAAGAGTAACAAAACGAAGGTTAGTATGTAAATGATCCAGCGTAAAGCTTTGTACTGATACCTGTGATGAACAGAAATTCAGATGATTGTTAGAATTTATTTCACCAGTATGTGTAATAACTTTTTTGCTCACAGAATCATTTTTTTTTATTTAGATTTTAAGCTGCAAGGAAAGCTTCGTGAGTCTGAAAATGCAGGTGGGACCTTTGACTGTCGAATCAATCGATAGTTGTTGAGGCTTGTATTTACGGCTTTGGGAAATCAAATCAGGTTTGTATTTAAACTTGTAAATCATGCGTGTATGGCTGGGGGGGGGGGGGTGCAGTGACTCTTTGAAAATTGTACAGTTGATTTATTGAGGAAGGCCTGACTGTAGAGTTTTTATAGTATTAATGTAATTAATGAAACTGGTTAGATAGAACAAAATACTTCTGAGTCTAGAGGCTTGTAAAACAAAGGCCATCTTGTTTTATACTGAAAAATCTCTCTCTGCACTTTCTGTTGCCCTCAGATTTTCTTAGACATGCTGCAGATCATTCCAGAATGTGCCCTCAAATGAAAGCAAGTGGAAAAATGAGCAGACGACTCTACAGACCTTGGTGGTTAATTCCCTCATTAATAGGAGTGTTGCTCTGTTTGGACAGGGATGTATGCGCACGATTGTCTGCTGATGGGGCAGCCGTTCGGAGTCCCAGTGGAGACCTGCTTAGCGGAGATGGAGGCGAGGAGGTCGGAGGCCAGCCTCTCGTCTGTGTTTCATCACAGGCCTTCACGTTGACAGGCCGCATTAGGCAGTGTAGCTTAATAAGCTCCTCCATGCTGCAGCCTGATATTAGCGTGACAGCTTTGCGTGTGCCTGCGCTTTAGAGCATGAACATGTGAGTCTGCGTGTGCCTGCGCTTTAGAGCATGAACATGTGAGTCTGCGTGTGCCTGCGCTTTAGAGCATGAACATGTTAGTCTGCGTGTGCCTGCGCTTTAGAGCATGAGCAT